AAAGTACTCTAAACTGTATAAATAATGTAAAATTAAATTGAATTTATTAGCCAATCAGACGAACTTCTGCCTATGTATACGTACCTGATTGGTTATTTAGTGATCGATCTGTTAATTTATTACCCTAAACTATAAATTTATACGTAGTGATCGGCTATACCATAACAGATAAGCAAACATGATAATTATATTAATTTTATTAGATTTAATAGATACATAACATAGTAATTGAGGTTCTTGATCTTTAAAAAATACGCGGCAATGAAATAATGATAATATGAAGTCCTGAACTGTTTATTTAATGACTTAACCACCATCCAGTCAGTTCAATATGAAGTTTTAAAAGTCATATAAAGTTTTAAAAGTCATGATAAAGGTTAAAATACCGTTTTAAAAAAAATCAAAGCTTCTAAACATCTATTATTTTTCAATTCAAGGCATTGGTATTCTGTTGTAATGCTAAAATAACAAACACGCGTACGTGCGGGAGCCAACGAAAAATAAATTGGAACTCGAAAACAGTTTCCACCTGATATTCGATTCGAACCGTTTTCAAACCAGATCTTCTATGAAACAGGAATTCTATCATCCTAAGAAAAAAATACGAATTACAATATACTTTTTAAGCTTGAAAATCCAATTCCATGATAATAACGATAATTAGTATTTCATTCCATCATCAATAGTAGTAAAATTATTTCACGAATGTATTGAACTACATCGGTAAAATGATGTAATTGTTGATGTTGATATTATTCACATAATGTTGAGTTGTTGAGTAGATATTGTACTAAGTGTGATTATTAATATTAATTTTATTGCTAACTTTTACATGCTAAAAATAAACTATATAGAATTAAACTTCAAAGTTATTTAACAAAGTGCATTCTTTTCTACATAAAAAAATTTTAACTTTTATACCCTATGTACATATAAATAATAGATGTATACGCGTAAATACTAGGTATGAACTCGTTTTTATTTTATTGTCTCACATAAAAGATAGTAAGTGAAGATCTTGGTGTGAGAAACAGAAGATCTTATATAATTCAAATTCATTTGGAGTTCTTTATAAAAGCAATCAATTTAGTTTGGGTGAAACTGTATTTATAGAGCTGTATAAGTCCTCTACTAGCAAAATCAAAGTCTAATGGCTACTATCGAAAACAATCAATCACATGACATCAAAAACGATTCTTCGTTGGAATGTGGAAAAAACGATCCTTCGTTGGAATATGAAAAAAATGATCCTTCGTTAGAATACGCAAAATCAGAAAAATCGGGTCAAGAAAATACTACTTCATTAAGTGATCCAATAAATTGGCCGAAAAGGAAAAAACATTTCATCTTATTCATTATTGCTGTGACAGGATTGATCGCTCCTATTTCTAGCACGTGAGAGTCCTAAAGTTTTTTTTTGAATCTGTATTGTTGAAATTTAAACCCTGACTTTTTTTTTTTGTCTAGAATCCTTTTACCGGCTGTTATCAAAATTGGGTCTGATTTAAATACTTCTCAAGTTCTTTCTAATGCTATAAGCAAGTAAAATAATTTTGTTCATTTGGTTTAGTGTACGACAGTGTTTTTAGGGATAGTTCAAACTCATGCGATTGTTTAAAGTAGATGGTTTTACCAATATCACGTTTGAATTACTGAATTACACGAAGGAAAGTTCTTAGGACACCAGGGACAGTGAAAAATATCGATTTAGGACAACGCAAATTTAACTATTGCGTTATACCAAATCGTGGATTATGATTGGCAAATCTTGGTAAATCGATATAAATCGATAAATATTTTTGCTTACCAGTTCATGTGATTTTACTTTAGGGTAGAATCTTACCCAGGGGTGCGCCAACAAAATTCCACTATCACGTGACGATCGAAAAATTCTTTAAAGTTCATTTAGGTTAGGGTTAGCGTTTCTAATAGGATGAGAACTAGCGGGTTTATGTAACGTTACATTAAAACGAGACTAACTATTGGATGGTCATCACGTGAAAGTGAAAATTTATTGGCGCACCTGGGGTAGTTTTAGGGTAGATACATTGGCACGTGACAGGTTTTAGAGTAGGTACAAAAATTACTCGAATTGGTAGTGTCTACGAGAACTGGAGACTTCCCTTACGCGAATTTGCTCTGTCCATAAACACTGTCCGAGATTATCCAGTAATCGGATCGTATCAACTCGTGATTTATGAATCAAGCTCAGAGTAAATGCAATCGTGCAATATACAAAAAATTTGAGTTATGCAAGTTATTTGAATCACGAGTTGACGAGTCCCAATCACTAACTTAAAAATGACAACATGGTTTAACAACTTGATTATTAATTATCTAGTCGCTGTCTTCATTTTGTTCATGGGCATTGCAGTATGTTTTTACTTTTACTTTTTTTTTGTACATAATGTTTGTTCAACTCAATGATAATTTATTTATTTGCAGCCACTTGGGTGGGCCTCATATTCTGATGTTCGTGAAACAAGGCGTAGGGTCTACTTAGTGTCCCTTGCAATATACGTCGTTGCTGGAATAATATGTGCTATATCGAATAATATTTGGTTATTGTTGGTTATGCGTTCTCTTCAGGCTTGTGGTGGTTCTTCCGTTCATAGTATTGGCGCTGGAACTATAAGCGATGTATTTATTAATACTGGTAAATTATTCTCGGTTTGCACGTGACTTGCGTCTTCTTCCCAATTCTTAGCAATGTATTAAATTAATTGTAATTCATGTTCAGAACGTGGACGCGCTTTTGGTTGGTTCTATTTAGGTCCTTTAATAGGTCCTATCCTCGGTCCGGTAATAGGCGGTTATATAACTCAATACCTTGGTTGGAGATTTATTTTTTTGTTTCTGTCATTATATGGTGGTATCATTTTTGTCTTCATATACTTTGCTCTTCCTGAAACTTTTCATCGCGTTCAATCGTCACTTCCCACTGCTTCATCTCCTAAAAAGCGGTTTAATCCTTTCTCTTCACTTGCTTTACTTCGTTATCCAAACTTAACTTTGACTGTATTTTACATAAGTGCTGTTTTTTCTGTGATATATATCCTGAATACTCTTATTCCAAGAACTTTTTCTTCAAAATTTAATCTGTCCACTTCTAACATCGGTCTTGTGTTTCTTTCTCCTGGTCTTGGATACTGGTTGGGAAGTGTGGCCTCTGGGTGTTATTCAGATTTCTTATTGTCTAAAATTAATGCTAGATATGGTGATATTTATCCGGAAATGAGAATAAACAGTGTTTGGTTAGGTTCTGCGTTAGTTCCAGTTTCTCTTTTAGGCTACGGATGGTCGATTGTGAAGAATGCTCATATTGTTTTTCCTATATTGTCATTGTTTTTTTGTATGTCATTCTTATATTATTTTCACTCTTTTTGTACATATAAATTTTTTTTAAAAAAATTTTATTTATTTTTTTTTTTATTTAATTGTAGTCGGATTCGGTACATTAATAATATTTAATTGTATGTCGACATATTTAGTTGACGCTTTTCCTGGTCGAAGTGCTTCAGCTATAGCAGTAAACAATTTTTTCAGATATATGGCTGCTGCAATAACGGCTATTATTTCGATACCAGCTGAAGACGCGTTGGGTACCGGATTATTGTATACACTTTCGGCTGTGCTTATTGTATTATGCACTTCCTGTGTAGTGATTGTATATTTTAAAGGGAAAAAGTGGAGAGAACGTTTTCAATATTAAATGCTTTATACTATTGGAATAATTAATAGGTTTTGTAAAAAAAAAGAAAGAAGGTATAACGTTATTAATAAAATAAAAAAAACTATTCGTAGTAAAAAATTATTACTATATACTAAAAATATAAATTAAATCCTTAAAAAGATTCTTTTCTAACTATTCAAAGTATAGTGCATCCTATATTTTTTTTTTACAAAGTTACGAATAATTTTAACTTACTACCATATTAATCTATACGCTTAATAATAAATTACCATTATACCTATATGTAGCAGATAACATTTTAAATTTATTAATATAAATAATAGTTTTAATCATACAAACTTATATTTTCGGTTTTCATATCCCGGCAGGGTCAGTAAAGCAGAAATCCAATACCCTGATCCGTTGGGAATTAGCGGAAACTTCGTTTCCACTTGTTCGCATACGGATAAGGTATTATTAATTTATCTGACACTTCATATGTAAGCACCTGACGTTTTTATCTGATTGTTGTCGGGATTTATAACGCGGAACAAGTGTCACTTCGCGGCATGTACTCCGCATTATGTCCCAAAAATAAATCAGTTATCGTCTACAACATAACCAATAACAAGTATTAACCCTCCCGTGATCTTGATATAGTGATCGGGGATTATATGCGTTAATCGAAAGCACATATATCCAATAAATGATAACGAAACTCATTTTATCAGCACTCATAATTAGGATGGTAAAAAAAACGGGCTTAACAGTTTTTTAAACCTTTTTTTAAAAACATCGAATCCTGAGCTGAAATTGAGTTTCCGATTAATTAATTTTAGTTGTCAGCTGAGAAAAATTTTTTTGACATTTGCCATCCTTACTTATAATACATAACTTGAACTAATACTTGATTTTATTCCAAAAAAGGAATCCATTTATATACGTACGTATTACGTATACGTATAAGCTAATAATTTTCTTTTTTTTAGCTCTAAACTTATGTCTGATTGATGCATTACTACTTTAGCGGCTCGGTTCAACTCGGTTCGGCTCGTCAATCTCCGAGCCGATCCGCTTGCATCGCTAAAAACCGATCCACGATGCATGCCGGTTTTGGAAGACCTACGTATAACTTAAAATTCTATTGAGCAATTTCGAAAATTCATGCTTTTTTATATTTTTACTTTAGTATAATAATAGTCGATGATATCGGTTTAATATTTTGGTGAACATTCAAAATCGAAACTCATTGATTCAAATCTATAGTGGATCTATTGCTATTTTGTCTGTGTTAAGAATAAATTCTATTGGTAGTGTAAAAGATACTTTATAATCATCGTCACCTCCGGTGAGAATGCCAATTAAGTTTACCGAACGCAAATCTTGGGAAAAAGAAACACAGACCCTCCGCTGTCACCAAAACTTATTTC